ACTGAACAGCGGTCAGACGAGTTGAGCAACGAAATGTCAGATCAACCGACGAATGATCGAACAAACAAACGAACGACCTCTGCTTGCGCGACGTTCGTATTCAGGTCTGTATATGTATGCACGTTGATAAATCTTTTATGTGCAAATAAAATCAGGCGCAAAGTAGCGACGATGGGGAGAACAGAGTTGCTAACGGCAGAGTCAGGCAAAAAATGCCGTAATAACAAGTTCGCTGCCTGCGCTGACGTCGTTGTTGAGGCTACTCGTCACATGCTGCTTTCTTCTATATGTGCGAACTTTGTGAAACAGCGCTTCAAATGTGTTGCGAAGTTGACGTCGTTCGTATTCTTTCACTGTATTGGTTTTGTGTAGCTAGCAGCTGTCGGATATTTTATTTCACTCATTCGTCTGTATGAATGTGTGGTATGTTTCTCCCTTTTTAGTTCGACAGTCGGATGCACGAGTACAAGCGCAAGCATACATCCCGTCGAACACGTTCAATTATAGTGCATACGTATGTATCTTATATACATATTTATGTACGTTTGAATGTGCACCTTTTGTCGTTGTCATTATAATTATTATATTCTGCGCATACGTTGTTGTGGTCGTTATATTGCTGCTGGGCGTTATTGGACAATTGGTTGGAGAGGAGGTGTACAAATGAGCAGGTACCCGATAACATGGAAACGGAAAAAACCAAAGAGAAATAGTACAGTAACAATGGTGTGGTTGATTGCCAAGGGAAAACGTTCGAAACGGGTGAAAAGTACCGCCGTCTTCAGACCAGCTCGTGTTGTTGGCATAACTTTTTCTTTGGCTGAATTATGAAATTGTTATTGTTGTTGCTATTATTACTACAACCGTTTTTGTTGTTGCCGCTGCTGCCGACAGCCACACTTCAGTGCACTGCATTTAGTTCGTTGCTTATTTTGATCAGTTAGGACATTTTTTTAAATTTATGTGTATGTATGTTTCGTTCCACTGAACTTTTGTAAATATGTATGTATATGCATTTACATACATATGATATGATATATGTATGTATTTTATTATGGTGCCGCAATGTAGCAAAGTAATATTCAAAACATAAATTTTAACAAAAATACATGGAAAATATTAATTAAATACGTATGTATGTATGTAAATGTATATATGGTCAATATTTTAATGATAATTGTTAGCATATGTAAATATTTTACGCGGCATCTCCAATTATTTTTTCTTTTATATGTACACGTTTTTTTTTTTTCATTTGTGTTTGAAAATTTGATAATTAACTGCTGCTTTGGGAATTCTAGGGTCTGTTATTTCTTTTGTTATTTAATGCTGATTGTAATATGTGGAATGATGAGTGTCCTTGAAATATATACTTAAGTACATATTTTCGTATTAATATCGCTCAATTAACTTCTACTTGGGGAATTTAGGGTCTGTTTCTGTTGTTAGTTAATAATGATTATAGATATGTGTCTTTGAAATATATTTATATTTTCGGATATTAATAACATATTGTTTAACAAAACACAAAGCAAACGTTAATCTGGAGAAACTTTGGAATTCTTTTTCTACAATCATGCTATTCAGAAAAGGGAATCACATATTCATTAAAAATAATTTTTACGTTTTTTCTTTTGTACTTCACGACATAAAAAAATATTACTAACATATAAATAAATAGCGTAAAAAGAAAAATACAATGATCAAACTTAAATAAGGCATCATGCGATCGAAGCTATGCATAAGTATGTACATGTGTACATGTTGCCTATTCAAAATGTGTATGCAAATGAGAACAGCTCAGCCAAACCTCCAAACTGACAGATCAGTGCTAGTAATATATGGCATGAAATATATTTAGACATCAATTGCTAATATATTGTTAGGAATTCAGATTTTTAGCAATCTTTGATTGCCTGTCGTGATGACCTTTTAGCAATGTACATTGCCTGTGGAGATGCAGCGTTACAACCAAAATAAATGTACTACACCGATTTTTTTCCATTCTGTGGATTGGAGAGTAAATTTCATATGTATTGCATATTCATAACCAGAGATAAAGAGTAAAGAGAGATAACTCATCTCTCACTGGAAATGTGAAAGCCATTGCTAAACGTAAAAACCTCCTGAACTTTGACAGTTGACCAAGATTTTGACGTTTAGCAATTGGAAAAAGAAGGACGACCAGATTGACAAAAATATGGAAAACAATGAAAATTAAAGAAAACGTGAAATTGAGATGTATGTGATTATTCACTTTATTAACTATTGAAATATCACAAAATAACAAAAAATTATTTAAATAGTTTCTCCATATGTTTAACGTAACTAAATAAAATCCCGCATAATAGTACAGACAAGGAAAATATCGTTATTTTAAATGTATATATTGGAATTCCCAGCAGTTCCATCTCAGTGTTTATGAAAATGAAACAAGAAATGGCTATTGTTTCTTAAGGGGAGTAAAAGATGGCTGTAATGAAATATGCACAGCTATTTATAAGTATCTTTTGATTTTGGACAAAAAAAAAACTGTTTATACTGCGTTAGTGCCGTTTCACATTGGGATTCAAAAGAGTCTGATGTTTTTCAAATTTTCTTTTGGTGCCGCTCTGGGCATTCACACGGTCAAAAAGAGTCCAGCAACTCGAGTCTAGTTTTTCTGCATTCCTTTTCACAAAATTTTCGTAAATATTTTTTATGCGGTTCGACTGCGCAACACCGCGCAACACTGCGTGCTGCGTATTTCATTTGTATGTTGAGATGATGGTCACACATTTTGCTTGCAATGAATTACCATGAATATGGTAGAACAATATGCATAATACAAGTACCTACCCGCTAAATAGTTTCAAAAAATACTAATATTTTCAAGGCCAAATTTATAATAGGAATTTCCTAATCTTTAAGTATTAAAAACTCATAATTTCTTTACTCCGTATTAAAAATTCATAATTTCTTTACTCCATAATCTATATCTTAATTTTCTCCTTATTTACAATTTGTCATAATATTTCTATTATTCTATGCATACGTATTTGCATATTACATACAAAAATAGATAACAGAACTCAAATTTGCGATCGAATTCATTTGAAACCGAGCGCTCTTGCAACCATTCAAAGGATTTGAAAGTGAAAAGGAATGCTGAGTTGCGTATCAGCGAGCTGTTACGAACAAGAACACAAAGCGTGCCACCCGAACACGAGTGGCACGGTCCCTTCGTCTTTCCTCGTCATCCCCTCACCCACAATAAACTGGTATGAGACTCTTTTGCGTCCCAATGTGAAACGGCACAAACGGCACTTAGTTGCGGAGAACAAACCCGCAATAAAGCCATGTTAACCATGATTCCTTTTTTTAAATCAGCCACATTCATTGAACCGATAACATACTTGTTGCCCGGGCATCCGAGGACGCCTGTTGATTTTGTGCACAGCAACATCGAATCATTTACACGAAATCGAAGAGTTTGGGCTCCTAGTGAGTGGACAACATTAAAAAAAACCCATAACTTTTTTTTAAAGTACAGTTATATGGATGAAGTATACATATATGTAATTAAAAGATGTTTCACTATTAACTTAAACCAACCTTTCGCATTTTTATTATATTTGAGAGAATTAAAACCATTATTACGTAAATTTAATGATTTAAAATCGCCTTGTGATAAATAGAAGTATTTCAAAGCGTTTCATTATAGTATATACCTTAGTCTTAACAAATATATTCAAGTGGAAGACTCTTTAAATGTAACTGATGAAAATGAAAAATGAAATTTTCGGAATAAATGTATGTATGTATAAATATTTAATACTGCTTTTATAATTGTTGGAATTTAAATTAAAAAATAATAATTGACAAACATAGAAGTAAAATTGTATGAAATTCATTTAACGTAACTGCCAATATTTTTACCATATATGTACATATGTATTTACAAACATACATTTATATGTATGCTTTTGCGACAATCCGCGAAAATAACGTAAGCGCCAAAAATCGTAGTTGTTTAGATATACTGTGTTTCGAGTTTCACTGAAATCCATCAACCAACATTGATTTAACCTTTAAAAAACCTTCTCATGTAAAACTTAGTTTTTGGCGCTTACGTTATTTTCGCAGGAAGACCTCTATACATACATACATATGTATTAGACCTGTGAAGAAGTCTTCAAAAATTGTAAAACGAGAAAGAAATTCACAGGTTTTAATATATATTTGGAATTTGGAAACGAAAAATTAAATAACAAACATGAAAGGAAAAATAATTTATGGGCGATCCGAGGTCGGAAGAGGAAAGGGGCTTGGTTGAATCTTTAAGGGTTAAATGGGTTTCCGGAAAAACTACGAGTTCTATATAGAATAAAGTATTATGGTATAAGTTGTAAGTAGTGAAAAGACCTAAAAATGTTGTAGTAATATCTTTTTTTTACATAACCTACAAATTCAAATATCCAATTTTTTAAGTTTTTTACATAAATGTATGTACATATGTATATCGTATAAAAAATTTGTTTCATTCACGAAAAAACTTGCTGTAAATTTACCTTCTTGTGTTCCAAACACACTATTTATTTAAATTTAAAATATTATGTGAGAAACCTTATTTCGCCTTAAATTAATCAAAAATAATTTTCAATAAAAAATTTTCACATCAAAATATTAGATTTTTGTTTAAGCCATTAGGCTTTATGTTTGTTGAAATCTGTACTTTCTATGGTGCAATTTCTCAGAATCGGATATACTATCTAGATAATTTTCAATTATTTTTTCTTCGAGAAAATAGCAAAATAATGATATTGACGTGTATGTATGTTAATACCTATATGTGGAATTGCAAGAAAAAAATGTAATTAAATATGTTTGATAAAAAAATATACTTATGTACGTGTATTAGATTTATAATAAATGTCGATAGAATTAGAAGTTTGTATTGAAAATGCGTTTTGTAGGCAAAGGTAAAACATATCAAAAATGCTTTTTAATAACTACATACACATCACATGTGCATATGCATATGCAAATTTAAATAAAAATTGTATTTCGCAATCATAAAATCTTCAAACATGTGTGTTTCAAATTATAAAACATGTGCGTTCAGATTCAATTTGTTTCGAGCTAAACACATGTTGTATTGAAACAGTGAGAACCAGTTACAACTCCAGCATGTATGTCATACTATTCCGAACCGTTTCGTTGCTATAGCGTTTTGTGCGGCCATCATGGATTCACGCACACAAATTTAGTTCTGGCACGAATATGAGCAGTGCAAATATATAAAGTATACTCATTGCTTCTCTTTCTGCCGTATTGTTCTGGATGGCAACCGGAATTCAATGGCCGCTACATGTATTTTATGAATCGGTTCGCAATTTAAAGAATAGCACAAACTATGGTTTGCTTTTTTTTACTTCAATGCGATTAAAACGTTTCCCATATTTATTCACCATACTTAACGTGTAGCATCAACACTGACCAACTCGTTGGTTTCGGCATTATCAGTTCTAAACGATTTGGCAGAGAGTTCGGTTGTGAGAAATAAATATTGGTGATTTTGCGTAGAATTACTCAATATTCAATCGAATTAACACAAATATATTATTAATTCAAAGGCGTTTAATTGCAAAAAAATATTAATTTCACTGCGAAAACAATCTTTGAATTGAAATTATTCAAGCTGTTAGTTAATGCATTGTTCGGCGTAATATGATATGATTTGGAAAGGCACAATTATTATACAAACGACCATTACTACAGTGAACTTCAAAGTTTGGCTTACACAGCCAACTCAATGAAATGGTATGTGAAATACCAAAATGTTTATTTAAAATATTGTAACTATATTTTATTGTAGATATTTCATTTAACCGTTTTTCGCATTTATTTGGGAATATATTGATTGCATACAAATTAGGTTGACAGCCTGAAAGGACTTATTTTTCTGCACTTATAGCAACTGTTTTGTTAATATGACTACATTGGCCACATTATCAAACCCAGTCGCTAATGAATCTGCCAATACTGTAGGAGGTAGTTCATCAACAGCAGGGCCTGGGAACAACAACAATGTTGAGCGACGTTGTGAAAATGCTGACTGTAATGTTATTAAGCTGGTTTCAATGGTACCCAAACGCAAAATCACACAATTTGTAACAGAACCTTCTGTAATGGAGAAACCTATGTTAATAAATGGTTTTACTACTGTTTTTCAAGTGGAAGGAAGTTCTGCAAAATTAAGTGATTTAAAAAATCCGAATCCAAACGCAACACCCCAACCAAAAAGTATTTTTCGTATTGTACCAAATACACATGCTCACATAGTGAATTACGTTGTAGTAGACGCTGATGGCGATTCATTGCGTAAAATCAATGAGGGTGATCCGGCTACAATGCGAAAATTACTTGAATCGCAAAAGGTGAGTGCTGATCAAATGTTGAAGAAGCTTATGGCAGGTCATGGTCCCAGCGTTCCTATAGTCTGTAGCGCGGCGCCTGCGCCATCAAGCGCGAACACAGTATCTTCTGCGACATCCTTAAATGGACGTAATGTGGCAACTGCGAACACCTTTTCTACAACTGCAACAACTACGACCACTAATGCAACTATTAGAACAAATGTTACATCAATTACCGGAAATACTCAGCCCAATAGCTCTGCGAAGTCGTCAGCTATACAATTACCTTTAAGAATGCACCCAAATTTGAAGATAACTGCTGTAGTAAGTAGAGACACAATTGGACAATTGGTGGAACCAAATACTGGTACACAGCAGCCGACACAAGTGGTTCCACCAGCTGCGCCTACTGTTCCATTAATCACGCCCGTACCATTGGCGAATTTGCAGAGTTCGGCTGTTCCTTCTATTTCTACGCAACCAGTGGATAAGTAAGTTTTTAATTGGAATGCTAACTTTGACATTCATACATTTCTAAAATATATTTTCCTATTCACTTAGATCAAATATTGATAAAATGCAAGCAGAACTTGCGGAATTGCGTCGCACTGTAGCTATGTTGGCTGAAGCTATGCCCATGAATCCTCAAGCTCAGAAAGCGCTTCAACAAACAACTCAACAGCGTGGTGTAGCCGTGAAAAGACAGCGCATAAATTAGGGGGTTAGGTGTAGTCAAAGATATTTTGTCCAGCTTTTCGTTAAAATACCAACATTTAATTTTATATAAAATATCGAAATTAAACAAAAGATCCTTGCGCTAGTTTTTCATGTATAATATATAAATTTCATTGAAATCTACCCAGCGGTTTTCGTGCTTTAGTGGTCACCATTATGGTTTTTAGAAAAACGCATTTGAAGTTTTATACGAACACCAGATCGCCCGAGAACCTATTGCTTATTTCAAATAACTCGTACTTCAAATTTTCAGAGAATATTTTTAAGATATACTTTTTTTTCTGAATAACCCTAACCACTTAATTAATTATATTTAACGATTTATAAAATTATACGTAATTTATAATTTATTACAACTGAAGATAGCAAATGATGCGTCACCATATTTATATATTAAAAAGTAAAAGTTCAAGTAAAAAGTTCGGTTTTTATCTAAGACAGCTGTACTCTAAGTGTGTTCCGCGGAACCCTAGGGTTCCGTGATACCTCTGTCGGGGTTCCACAAGAATTTAGAAAAAAAAAAATCAAAACACCTCTCTCTGGTCGCTGAGTCCGCACAGCCGCGCGGAGACAAAACGCTGTGAACGTTATTTATTTATCACGACCACTACAATCCCGATTGTTCTCATTATTGTGGGAAGATTATGGCAGCAAACATAAAACACTGCTGCTCCATACGGAAGTGCGATGGCTGTCTCGGGGTAAAACTTTAACAAGGCTATTTGAACTCAGAGCCGAGTTACAAATGTTTCTTTCAGCAGATACTTCTTTTAATTTGAAGGACCGTTTGTATGATAAAAGTTGGTTGTTTCGATTGTCTTTTATGGCGGATATCTTTCAAAAACTTAACGAATTGAATTTATCGTTGCAAGGCAAACAGGTAACAGTGTTTCAGGCCTATAATAAAATAACTGCTTTTAAAAGAAAATTAGGTTTTTGGATCATTTGCATTGGTAAGAAAGAAAATAGAAAGCTTTACGTTACTCAGTGAGTTTATAAGCGAAAACGACTTAGAAATGTTCGAAGATGATGCAGAATTGGACAATTCTGCATCAATGTTTGCAGAATTGGTCAATTATCTCAAATCGTGGCGCTCATCTTTTGAAAAGTATTTTCCCGAAGAACACAATACAAAAATTAAAGTGAATTCATGGATTCATAATCCTTTTTTACCTAATTTGGAAAAGCCTGAAAACATGTCAAACGAGATATATGAATCTCTTTTAGAAATGTCATCCGATACAAGTGTGGAGTCACTATTCAAAACGACGCCTCTCAATGATTTTTGGTGCAGAATCCAAGATGAATATGCAATGCTTGGCCAAATGGCTCGGGATATTCTTCTCCCGTTCCCAACTACATATTTGTGCGAAACAGGATTTTCTACTTATGCAGCCACAAAAACAAAATATCGCAATAGACTGGACGCCGAAGCTGATATGAGACTCCAACTTTCTTCCATCAAACCTGATATCAACCAATTGATGAAAAATAAAAAACAGTTTCATACCTCCCACTAGTTAGATTTTTTCTTTTTTAAAGTTTTCTATTATCGTCCTTGCCAAGTGGTGAAGTAAATAATAATTAGTCACTGTTACATTTTACTTTTATTATGCTGATTAATAAAGAATACACTTATAAAAACAATTGTTTTATTGTAGGGTTCCATCAAGTATTTTGCTTCCCAAAAGGGTTCCGCCATTAAAAAAGTTTGAGAACCACTGATCTAAGAAATGCCGATATTGTCTCGTACTAGTGTTACGTGTCGCATCATGTCATACTATACGTTGCTGAAAACGTGTTTATTCGCGCTAAAAGTTTGTCCTTGACAGTTTCCGGAATTCAATGGCCGCTACATATTTTATGAATCGGTTCGCAATTTAAAGAATAGCACAAACTATGGTTTGCTTTTTACTTCAATGCGATTAAAACGTTTCCCATATTTATTCACCATACTTAAAGTGTAGCATCAACACTGACCAACTCGTTGGTTTCGGCATTATCAGTTCTAAACGATTTGGCAGAGAGTTCGGTTGTGAGAAATAAATATTGGTGATTTTGCGTAGAATACTCAATATTCAATCGAATTAACACAAATATATTATTAATTCAAAGGCGTTTAATTGCAAAAATATTAATTTCACTGCGAAACAATCTTTGAATTGAAATTATTCAAGCTGTTAGTTAATGCATTGTTCGGCGAATATGATATGATTTGGAAAGGCACAATTATTATACAAACGACCATTACTACAGTGAACTTCAAAGTTTGGCTTACACAGCCAACTCAATGAAATGGTATGTGAAATACCAAAATGTTTATTTAAAATATTGAACTATATTTTATTGTAGATATTTCATTTAACCGTTTTCGCATTTATTTGGGAATATATTGATTGCATACAAATTAGGTTGACAGCCTGAAAGGACTTATTTTCTGCACTTATAGCAACTGTTTTGTTAATATGACTACATTGGCACATTATCAACCCAGTCGCTAATGAATCTGCCAATACTGTAGGAGTAGTTCATCAACAGCAGGGCCTGGGAACAACAACAATGTTGAGCGACGTTGTGAAAATGCTGACTGTAATGTTATTAAGCTGGTTTCAATGGTACCCAAACGCAAAATCACACAATTTGTAACAGAACCTTCTGTAATGGAGAAACCTATGTTAATAAATGGTTTTACTACTTTTTCAAGTGGAAGGAAGTTCTGCAAATTAAGTGATTTAAAAATCCGAATCCAAACGCAACACCCCAACCAAAAGTATTTTCGTATTGTACCAAATACACATGCTCACATAGTGAATTACGTTGTAGTAGACGCTGATGGCGATTCATTGCGTAAAATCAATGAGGGTGATCCGGCTACAATGCGAAAATTACTTGAATCGCAAAAGGTGAGTGCTGATCAAATGTTGAAGAAGCTTATGGCAGGTCATGGTCCCAGCGTTCCTATAGTCTGTAGCGCGGCGCCTGCGCCATCAAGCGCGAACACAGTATCTTCTGCGACATCCTTAAATGGACGTAATGTGGCAACTGCGAACACCTTTTCTACAACTGCAACAACTACGACCACTAATGCAACTATTAGAACAAATGTTACATCAATTACCGGAAATACTCAGCCCAATAGCTCTGCGAAGTCGTCAGCTATACAATTACCTTTAAGAATGCACCCAAATTGAAGATAACTGCTGAGTAAGTAGAGAACACAATTGGACAATTGGTGGAACCAAATACTGGTACACAGCAGCCGACACAAGTGGTTCCACCAGCTGCGCCTACTGTTCCATTAATCACGCCCGTACCATTGGCGAATTTGCAGAGTTCGGCTGTTCCTTCTATTTCTACGCAAACAGTGGATAAGTAAGTTTTAATTGGAATGCTAACTTTGACATTCATACATTTCTAAAATATATTTTCTATTCACTTAGATCAAATATTGATAAAATGCAAGCAGAACTTGCGGAATTGCGTCGCACTGTAGCTATGTTGGCTGAAGCTATGCCCATGAATCCTCAAGCTCAGAAAGCGCTTCAACAAACAATCAACAGCGTGGTGTAGCCGTGAAAAGACAGCGCATAAATTAGGGGTTAGGTGTAGTCAAAGATATTTTGTCCAGCTTTTCGTTAAAATACCAACATTTAATTTTATATAAAATATCGAAATTAAACAAAGATCCTTGCGCTAGTTTTCATGTATAATATATAAATTTCATTGAAATCTACCCAGCGGTTTTCGTGCTTTAGTGGTCACCATTATGGTTTTAGAAAACGCATTTGAAGTTTTATACGAACACCAGATCGCCCAGAACCTATTGCTTATTTCAAATAACTCGTACTTCAAATTTTCAGAGAATATTTTTAAGATATACTTTTTTTTCGAATAACCCTAACCACTTAATTAATTATATTTAACGATTATAAATTATACGTAATTTATAATTTATTACAAAATGAAGATAGCAAATGATGCGTCACCATATTTATATATTAAAAGTAAAAGTTCAAGTAAAAGTTCGGTTTTATCTAAGACAGCTGTACTCTAAGTGGTTCGCGGAACCCTTGGGTTCCGTGATACCTCTGTCGGGTTCCACAAGAATTTAGAAAAATCAAAACACTCTCTCTGGTCGCTGAGTCCGCACAGCCGCGCGGAGACAAAACGCTGTGAACGTTATTATTTATCACGACCACTACAATCCCGATTGTTCTCATTATTGTGGGAAGATTATGGCAGCAAACATAAAACACTGCTGCTCCATACGGAAGTGCGATGGCTGTCTCGGGGTAAAACTTTAACAAGGCTATTTGAACTCAGAGCCGAGTTACAAAGTTTCTTTCAGCAGATACTTCTTTTAATTTGAAGGACCGTTTGTATGATAAAAGTTGGTTGTTCGATTGTCTTTTATGGCGGATATCTTTCAAAACTTAACGAATTGAATTTATCGTTGCAAGGCAAACAGGTAACAGTGTTTCAGGCCTATAATAAAATAACTGCTTTTAAAAGAAAATTAGGTTTTGGATCATTTGCATTGGTAAGAAAGAAAATAGAAAGCTTTACGTTACTCAGTGAGTTTATAAGCGAAAACGACTTAGAAATGTTCGAAGATGATGCAGAATTGGACAATTCTGCATCAATGTTTGCAGAATTGGTCAATTATCTCAAATCGTGGCGCTCATCTTTGAAAAGTATTTTCCCGAAGAACACAATACAAAATTAAAGGAATTCATGGATTCATAATCCTTTTACCTAATTTGGAAAGCCTGAAACATCAAACGAGATATATGAATCTCTTTTAGAAATGTCATCCGATACAAGTGTGGAGTCACTATTCAAAACGACGCCTCTCAATGATTTTGGTGCAGAATCCAAGATGAATATGCAATGCTTGGCCAAATGGCTCGGGATATTCTTCTCCCGTTCCCAACTACATATTTGTGCGAAACAGGATTTTCTACTTATGCAGCACAAAAACAAAATATCGCATAGACTGGACGCCGAAGTGATTA